CACCTCCTCCACCTCCTGCCTCAGCGTACTGTTCCATCACCGAGACCACCTCCTCCTCCTCCGCCTCCTGCCTCAGCGTACTGTTCCATCACCGAGACCACCTCCTCCGCCTCCTGCCTCAGCGTACTGTTCCATCACCGAGACCACCTCCTCCGCCTCCTGCCTCAGCGTACTGTTTCCATCACCGAGACCACCTCCTCCGCCTCCTGCCTCAGCATACTGTTCCATCACCGAGACACCTCTCCTCCGCCTCCTGCCTCAGCATACTGTTCCATCACCGAGACCGAGACCTCCTCCGCCTCCTGCCTCAGCATACTGTTCCATCACCGAGACCACCTCCACCTCCTGCCTCAGCGTACTGTTCCATCACCGAGACCACCTCCGCTCTCCTGCCTCAGCGTACTGTTCCATCACCGAGACCACCTCCTCCGCCTCCTGCCTCAGCATACTGTTCCATCACCGAGACCACCTCCTCCACCTCCTGCCTCAGCGTACTGTTCCATCATCGAGACCACCTCCTGCCTCAGCATACTGTTCCATCACCGAGACCACCTCCTCCTCCGCCTCCTCCTCAGCATACTGTTCCATCACCGAGACCACCTCCTCCGCCTCCTGCCTCAGCGTACTGTTCCATCACCGAGACCCCCTCCTCCGCCTCCTGCCTCAGCGTACTGTTCCATCACCGAGACCACCTCCTCCGCCTCCTGCCTCAGTATACTGTTCCATCACCGAGACTCCTCCTCCTCCTGCCTCAGCGTACTGTTCCATCACCGAGACCACCTCCTCCGCCTCCTGCCTCAGCATACTGTTCCATCACCGAGACCACCTCCTCCGCCTCCTGCCTCAGCGTACTGTTCCATCACCGAGACCCTCCTCCGCCTCCTGCCTCAGCGTACTGTTCCATCACCGAGACCACCTCCTCCGCCTCCTGCCTCAGCATACTGTTCCATCACCGAGACCACCTCCTCCTCCTCCGCCTCCTGCCTCAGTTCCATCACCATACCTCCTCCGCCTCCTGCCTCAGCGTACTGTGTTCCATCACCGAGACCACCTCCTCCGCCTCCTGCCTCAGCATACTGTTCCATCATCACCGAGACCACCTCCTCCGCCTCCTGCCTCAGTATACTGTTCCATCACCGAGACCACCCCCTCCTCCGCCTCCTGCCTCAGCTCAGTACTGTTCCATCACCGAGACCCACCTCCTCCGCCTCCTGCCTCAGCATACTGTTCCATCACCGAGACCCACCTCCGCCTCCTGCCTCAGCGTACTGTTCCATCACCGAGACCACCTCCTCTCCACCTCCTGCCTCAGCGTACTGTTCCATCACCGAGACCACCTCCTCCACCTCCTGCCTCAGCGTACTGTTCCATCACCGAGACCACCCTCCTCCGCCTCCTGCCTCAGCGTACTGTTCCATCACCGAGACCACCTCCTCCGCCTCCTGCCTCAGCGTACTGTTCCATCACGAGACCACCTCCTCCGCCTCCTGCCTCAGCGTACTGTTCCATCATCGAGACCAACCTCCACCTCCTCCGCCTCCTGCCTCAGCATACTGTTCCATCACCGAGACCACCTCCTCCGCCTCCTGCCTCAGCATACTGTTCCATCACCGAGACCACCTCCTCCGCCTCCTGCCTCAGCATACTGTTCCATCACCGAGACCACCTCCTCCACCTCCTGCCTCAGCATACTGTTCCATCACCGAGACCACCTCCGCCTCCTGCCTCATACTGTTCCATCACCGAGAGACCTTCTCCTCCGCCTCCTGCCTCAGCATACTGTTCCATCACCGAGACCACCTCCTCCGCCTCCTGCCTCAGCATACTGTTCCATCACCGAGACCACCACCTCCTCCGCCCTCCTGCCTCAGCGTACTGTTCCATCACCGAGACCACCTCCTCCGCCTCCTGCCTCAGCGTACTGTTCCATCACCGAGACCACCTCCTCCGCCTCCTGCCTCAGCATACTGTTCCATCACCGAGACCACCTCCTCCGCCTCCTGCCTCAGCGTACTGTTCCATCACCGAGACCACCTCCTCCGCCTCCTGCCTCAGCGTACTGTTCCATCACCGAGACCACCTCTCCTCCGCCTCCTGCCTCAGTATACTGTTCCATCACCGAGACCACCTCCTCTCCTGCCTCAGCGTACTGTTCCATCACCGAGACCACCTCCTCCACCTCCTGCCTCAGCATACTGTTCCATCACCGAGACCACCTCCTCCGCCTCCTGCCTCAGCGTACTGTTCCATCACCGAGACCACCTCCTCCGCCTCCTGCCTCAGCGTACTGTTCCATCACCGAGACCACCTCCTCCGCCTCCTGCCTCAGCATACTGTTCCATCACCGAGACCACCTCCTCCGCCTCCTGCCTCAGCGTACTGTTCCATCACCGAGACCACCTCCTCCGCCTCCTGCCTCAGCGTACTGTTCCATCACCGAGACCACCTCCTCCGCCTCCTGCCTCAGCATACTGTTCCATCACCGAGACCACCTCCTCCGCCTCCTGCCTCAGCGTACTGTTCCATCACCGAGACCACCTCCTCCGCCTCCTGCCTCAGCGTACTGTTCCATCACCGAGACCACCTCCTCCGCCTCCTGCCTCAGCATACTGTTCCATCACCGAGACCACCTCCTCCGCCTCCTGCCTCAGCATACTGTTCCATCACCGAGACCACCTCCTCCACCTCCTGCCTCAGCATACTGTTCCATCACCGAGACCACCTCCTCCGCCTCCTGCCTCAGCGTACTGTTCCATCACGAGACCACCTCCTCCATCACCGAGACCACCTCCTCCACTCCTCCTGCCTCAGCGTACTGTTCCATCACCGAGACCACCTCCTCCGCCTCCTGAGTACTGTTCCATCACCGAGACCACCTCCTCCGCCTCCTGCCTCAGCGTACTGTTCCATCACCGAGACCACCACCCTCCGCCTCCTGCCTCAGCATACTGTTCCATCACCGAGACCACCTCCTCCACCTCCTGCCTCAGCGTACTGTTCCATCACCGAGACCACCTCCTCCCACCTCCTGCCTCAGCGTCTGTTCCATCACCGAGACCACCTCCTCCACCTCCTGCCTCAGCGTACTGTTCCATCACCGAGACCACCTCCTCCGCCTCCTGCCTCAGCATACTGTTCCATCACCGAGACCCCCCTCCTCCGCCTCCTGCCTCAGCATACTGTTCCATCACCGGGACCACCTCCTCCGCCTCCTGCCTCAGCGTACTGTTCCATCACCGAGACCACCTCCTCCGCCTCCTGCCTCAGCGTACACTGTTCCATCACTGAGACCACCTCCTCCACCTCCTGCCTCAGCATACTGTTCCATCACCGAGACCACCTCCTCCTCCGCCTCCTGCCTCAGCATACTGTTCCATCACCGAGACCACCTCCTCCTCCTGCCTCAGCGTACTGTTCCATCACCGAGACCACCTCCTCCGCCTCCTGCCTCAGCATACTGTTCCATCACCGAGACCACCTCCTCCGCCTCCTGCCTCAGCGTACTGTTCCATCACCGAGACCACCTCCTCCGCCTCCGCAGCGTACTGTTCCATCACCGAGACCACCCTCCGCCTCCTGCCTCAGCATACTGTTCCATCACCGAGACCACCTCCTCCTCCGCCTCCTGCCTCAGCGTACTGTTCCATCACCGAGACCACCTCCTCCGCCTCCTGCCTCAGCATACCGTTCCATCACCGAGACCACCCTCCTCCGCCTCCTGCCTCAGTATACTGTTCCATCACCGAGACCACCTCCTCCGCCTCCTGCCTCAGCATACTGTTCCATCACCGAGACCACCTCCTCCTCGCCTCCTGCCTCAGCATACTGTTCCATCACCGAGACCACCTCCTCTCCGAGCCTCAGCATACTGTTCCATCACCGAGACCACCTCCTCCGCCTCCTGCCTCAGCATACTGTTCCATCACCGAGACCACCTCCTCCGCCTCCTGCCTCAGCGTACTGTTCCATCACCGAGACCACCTCCTCCGCCTCCTGCCTCAGCGTACTGTTCCATCACCGAGACCACCTCCTCCGCCTCCTCACCGAGACCACCTCCTGCCTCAGCGTACCGTTCCATCACCGAGACCACCCTCCTCCGCCTGCCTGGACCCTGCCTCAGCGTACTGTTCCATCACCGAGACCACCTCCTCCGCAGCGTACTGTTCCATCACCGAGACCACCCTCCTGCCTCAGCCGTACTGTTCCATCACCGAGACCACCTCCTCCGCCTCCTGCAGCGTACTGTTCCATCACCGAGACCACCTCCTCCACCTCCTGCCTCAGCATACTGTTCCATCACCGAGACCACCTCCTCCGCCCTCCTGCCTCAGCGTACTGTTCCATCACCGAGACCACCTCCTCCGCCTCCAGCGTCAGCGTACTGTTCCATCACCGAGACCACCTCCCTCCGCTCAGCGTACTGTTCCATCACCGAGACCACCTCCTCCGCAGCGTACCGTTCCTCACCGAGACCCCACCTCCTCCGCAGCGTACTGTTCCATCACCGAGACCACCTCCTCCTCCGCCTCCTACCTCAGCATACTGTTCCATCACCGAGACCACCTCCTCCGCCTCCTGCCTCAGCGTACCGTTGTATAAGGTCTTTAGCCAATCGATAAAGCCCCCCTCCAGGCCATACTTGCCAAGAAGCAGCCATAGGTACTCATGATTGACTCGATCAAAAGCTTTGGCCTGATCCAATGCCAGCAGGAACTTTCCCCAGCCTGCAGCCCTGCACCACTCCAGGGCCTCCCGGACAGCTAACCCTGCTGAAAAAGTGCTTCTTCCCTGAACCGTACAGTGCTGATGGCGAGAAAGTAAATTGCCCGCAACAGACGATAAACGCCAGAAAATGATCTTTGCCAATATCTTCCTTCTCAACATTGAGAAGGCTAAGGGGCGGACCCCAATCCTCAATTCTCGAGGAATCCTTACCCTTTGACAGAAGAACTCACTGCAGATTGTCGCATGGGGGGGAGGGCGGACCCTCTCTCAGACGTGGAGGGGGAGGGCGGACCCTCTCTCAGACGTGGAGGGGGGAGGGCGGACCCTCTCTCAGACGTGGAGGGGGAGGGCGGACCCTCTCATCAGACGTGGAGGGGGAGGGCGGACCCTCTCTCAGACGTGGAGGGGGAGGGCGGACCCTCTCTCAGACACGGAGGGGGAGGGCGGACCCTCTCTCAGACACGGAGGGGGAGGGCGGACCCTCTCTCAGACACGGAGGGGGAGGGCGGACCCTCTCTCAGACACGGAGGGGGAGGGCGGACCCTCTCTCAGACGTGGAGGGGGAGGGCGGACCCTCTCTCAGACGTGGAGGGGGAGGGCGACCCTCTCTCAGGACGTGAGGGGGGAGGGCGAACCCTCTCTCAGACGTGGAGGGGGAGGGCGGACCCTCTCTCAGACGTGGAGGGGGAGGGCGGACCCTCTCTCAGACACGGGAGGGGGAGGGCGGGGACCCTCTCTCAGACACGGAGGGGGAGGGCGGACCCTCTCTCAGACACGGAGGGGGAGGGGGGGCGGACCCTCTCTCAGACACGGAGGGGGAGGGCGAACCCTCTCTCAGACACGTGGGGGGAGAGGGCGGACCCTCTCTCAGACACGGAGGGGGAGAGGGACCCTCTCTCCGTCCTGGAGGGGGAGGGCGGACCCTCTCTCAGACATGGAGGGGGAGGGCGGACCCTCAGACAGCCATTAAACACCTCCACCAAATATGGGGCCAGAGTCACCTTAAAGTGCTTATAAAACTCGGCTGTCAATCCGTCTGGCCCAGGTGACTTCTTCATGGCAAGCTGATCAATAGCTTTCACCACCTCATCTGCCGTGATGTCTTCTGTCACCTCACAGAGAACTGCCATTTCCCAGTCCTGGAGTAGAGTCCAGAAAACCCCACATGCCGCCCGATCGAGGTCCCTCCTACCCAGGACTCACAGAGAACTGCCATTTCCCAGTCCTGGAGTAGAGTCCAGAAAACCCGACATGCTCGCCCGATCGAGGTCCCTCCTACCCAGGACTCACAAGAGAACTGCCATTTCCCAGTCCTGGAGTAGAGTCCAGAAAACCCGACATGCTCGCCCGATCGAGGTCCCTCCTACCCAGGACTCACAGGAGAACTGCCATTTCCCAGTCCTGGAGTAGAGTCCAGAAAACCCAACATGCTCGCCCGATCGAGGTCCCTCCTACCCAGGACTCACAGGAGAACTGCCATTTCCCAGTCCTGGAGTAGAGTCCAGAAAGCCCAACATGCTCGCCTGATCGAGGTCCCTCCTACCCAGGACTCACAAGAGAACTGCCATTTCCCAGTCCTGGAGTAGAGTCCAGAAAACCCGACATGCTCGCCCGATCGAGGTCCCTCCTACCCAGGAGGTCAGCATAATATGACCTGGAGGTTTCCAGGATCCCTGACTTGGACTTCGTCAGGGAACCCGTACTGTCAACCAGGCCTACAACTGACTTCACTGCTCTACCTTGTTTGCAGTTCTGGTAAGGGTCGGGCGAGTGATATTTCCCATAATCCCTTTCCAGAACCAAAGAGGCATGCCTGTCATATTGACACTGCCTGAGGAGGAGTGTACCCTCAGAGATCGTCCCTGGATCTCCATTATTGGAGACAAGCCGATCGAGCTTCCTCCGCAGACGCTGGTAGGTGACATACTTATCAAGCTGTTTATTCCTTCCTATGGCCTTGAAAACCCAACGATCCTTCGTTTTGTAAGCTCCCACCACTCGGACTTACTGCTGCAAACGTCCATGATTGATACCTGTGCCTGAAAACAATCCTCAAAGGATTGACTCACCTTCTCATCGTCCAGGAGTGCCGAATTCAGCTTCCAGGTACCCCTCCCCTTAGGTGGTGTATCGGGGCCACTCAGAGTCACAGACAGAATACAGTGATCACTATGTACAGGAGAGGAGTGTGGGAGGGTGTGACAGTGATCGGTATGTACAGGAGAGGAGTGTGGAGGTATGACAGTGATCAGTATGTACAGGAGAGGAGTGTGGGAGGGTATGACAGTGATCGGTATGTACAGGAGAGGAGTACGGAGGTATGACAGTGATCGGTATGTACAGGAGAGGAGTGTGGGGGGTATGACAGTGATCGGTATGTACAGGAGAGGAGTGTGGGGGTATGACAGTGATCGGTATGTACAGGAGAGGAGTGTGGAGGTATGACAGTGATCGGTATGTACAGGAGAGGAGTGTGGAGGTATGACAGTGATCGGTATGTACAGGAGAGGAGTGTGGAGGTATGACAGTGATCGGTATGTACAGGAGAGGAGTGTGGGGGTATGACAGTGATCGGTATGTACAGGAGAGGAGTGTGGAGGTATGACAGTGATACAGGAGAGGAGTGTGGAGGTATGTACAGGAGAGAGGAGTGCGGGGGTGTGACAGTGATCGGTATGTACAGGAGAGGAGTGTGGGGGTATGACAGTGATCGGTATGTACAGGAGAGGAGTGTGGAGGTATGACAGTGATGGGTATGTACAGGAGAGGAGTGTGGAGGTGTGACAGTGATCGGTATGTACAGGAGAGGAGTGTGGGGGTATGACAGTGATCGGTATGTACAGGAGAGGAGTGTGGGGGGTATGACAGTGATCGGTATGTACAGGAGAGGGAGTGTGGGGGGTATGACAGTGATCAGTATGTACAGGAGAGGAGTGTGGGGGGTGTGACAGTGATGATTGGTATGTACAGGAGAGGAGGTGTGGGGGGTATGACAGTGATCGGTATGTACAGGAGAGGAGTGTGGAGGTATGACAGTGATCGGTATGTACAGGAGAGGAGTGGGGGGGTATGACAGTGATCGGTATGTACAGGAGAGGAGTGTGGGGGGTATGACAGTGATCGGTATGTACAGGAGAGGAGTGTGGAGGTATGACAGTGATCGGTATGTACAGGAGAGGAGTGTGGAGGGTATGACAGTGATCGGTATGTACAGGAGAGGACGGAGGTATGACAGTGATCGGTATGTACAGGAGAGGAGTGTGGGGGGTATGACAGTGATCGGTATGTACAGGAGAGGAGTGTGGGGGGGTATGACAGTGATCGGTATGTACAGGAGAGGAGTGTGGAGGTATGACAGTGATCGGTATGTACAGGAGAGGAGTGTGGAGGTATGACAGTGATCGGTATGTACAGGAGAGGAGTGTGGAGGTATGACAGTGATCGGTATGTACAGGAGAGGAGTGTGGGGGGTATGACAGTGATCGGTATGTACAGGAGAGGAGTGTGGAGGTATGACAGTGATCGGTATGTACAGGAGAGGAGTGTGGGGGGGTGTGACAGTGATCGGTATGTACAGGAGAGGAGTGTGGGGGGTATGACAGTGATCGGTATGTACAGGAGAGGAGTGTGGGAGGTATGACAGTGATGGGTATGTACAGGAGAGGAGTGTGGAGGTGTGACAGTGATCGGTATGTACAGGAGAGGAGTGTGTGGGGAGGTATGACAGTGATCGGTATGTACAGGAGAGGAGTGTAGGTGGGGGGTATGACAGTGATCGGTATGTACAGGAGAGGAGTGTGGGGGGGTGTGACAGTGATCGGTATGTACAGGAGAGAGGAGTGTGGAGGTATGACAGTGATCGGTATGTACAGGAGAGGAGTGTGGAGGGTATGACAGTGATCGGTATGTACAGGAGAGGAGTGTGGGGGGTGTGACAGTGATCGGTATGTACAGGAGAGGAGTGTGGAGGGTGTGACAGTGATCGGTATGTACAGGAGAGGAGTGTGGAGGTATGACAGTGATCGGTATGTACAGGAGAGGAGTGTGGGGGGTGTGACAGTGATCGGTATGTACAGGAGAGGAGTGTGGGGGGTGTGACAGTGATCGGTATGTACAGGAGAGGAGTGTGGAGGTATGACAGTGATCGGTATGTACAGGAGAGGAGGGTGTGTAGGTATGACAGTGATCGGTATGTACAGGAGAGGAGTGTGGAGGTATGACAGTGATCGGTATGTACAGGAGAGGAGTGTGGAGGTATGACAGTGATCGGTATGTACAGGAGTGGAGTGTGGGGGTGTGACAGTGGGCACTATGTACAGGAGAGGAGTATGACAGTGGGCACTAAGTAGAGGAGTATGACAGTGGGCATGTAAGTAGAGGAGTATGACAGTGGGCACGATGTAGAGGATTATGACAGTGGGCACTATGTAGAGGAGAGGAGTTTGGGGGGGTATGACAGTGGCAATATGTACAAGGAGGAGTGTGGGAGGGTATGACAGTGGGCACTATGTAGAGGAGAGGAGTATGGGGGTGTATGACAGTGGGCACTATGTAGAGGAGTATGGGGGTGTGACAGTGGGCACTATGTAGAGGAGAGGAGTTTGGGGGGGTGAGACAGTGGGCAGTATGTAGAGGAGTATGACAGTGGGCACTATGTAGAGGAGTATGGGGGTATGCCAGTGGGCACTATGTAGAGGAGAGGAGTATGACAGTGGGCACTATGTAGAGGAGTATGACAGTGGGCACTATGTAGAGGAGAGGAGTATGGGGGTGTGACAGTGGGCTATATGTAGAGGAGTATGGGGTGTGTGACAGTGGGCACTATGTAGAAGAGAGGAGTTTGGGGGGGGGGGGTATGACAGTGGGCACTATGTAGAGGAGAGGAGTATGTATGACAGTGGGCACTATGTAGAGGAGAGGAGTATGACAGTGGGCACTATGTAGAGGAGAGGAGTATGACAGGGGGGCACTATGTAGAGGAGAGGAGTATGACAGTGGGCACTATGTAGAGGAGAGGGTATGACAGTGGGCACTATGTAGAGGAGTATGACAGTGGGCACTATGTAGAGGAGTGTGGGGTGTGACAGGGGGGGTTATGACAGTGGGCACTATGTAGAGGAGAGGAGTATGACAGTGGGCACTATGTAGAGGAGAGTATGACAGTGGCACTATGTAGAGGAGAGGGAGTATGACAGTGGGCACTATGTAGAGGAGTATGACAGTGGGCACTATGTAGAGGAGTGTGGGGGGGGGTATGACAGTGGGCACTATGTAGAGGAGTGGTGGGGGGGGGGGTATGACAGTGGGCACTATGTAGAGGAGTTGGGGGGGGGGGGAGTTATGACAGTGGGCACTATGTAGAGGAGTGGGGGGGGGTGTATGACAGTGGGCACTATGTAGAGGAGAGGAGTGTGGGGGGGGAGTATGACAGTGGGCACTATGTAGAGGAGTGGGGGGGGGGGGGGGGGGGGGGTATGACAGTGGGCACTATGTAGAGGAGTGGTGGGGGGGGTGTATGACAGTGGGGCAATATGTAGAGGAGTGGGGGGGGGGGGTATGACAGTGGGCACTATGTAGAGGAGTATGACAGTGGGCACTATGTAAGGAGGATGTGGGGGAGGATGTGGGGGGGGTATGACAGTGGGCACTATGTAGAGGAGTGTGGGGGGGGGGGTATGACAGTGGGCACTATGTAGAGGAGAAGGAGTATGACAGTGGGCACTATGTAGAGGAGTGTGGGGGGGGGGTATGACAGTGGGCACTATGTAGAGGGAGTACTGGGGGGGTATGACAGTGGGCACTAGTGTGTAGAGGAGTGGAGGGGGGGGACAGTGGGCACTATGTAGAGGAGTGTGGGGGGGGGGGTATGACAGTGGGCACTATGTAGAGGAGAGGAGTATGACAGTGGCACTATGTAGAGGAGATGGAGTATGACGTGGGCACTATGTAGAGGAGTATGTGGGGGGGGGGGTATGATCAGTGGGCACTATGGGGAGTGTGGGGGGGGGAGGGGAGTATGACAGTGGGCACTATGTAGAGGAGGGGGAGTATGACAGTGGGCACTATGTAGAGGAGAGGTGGTATGACAGTGGGCACTATGTAGAGGAGTGTGGTGGGGGGGGGTAGACAGGTGGGCACTATGTAGAGAGTGTGGGGTGGGGGGGGGGAGGGGTATGACAGTGGAGTATGGCACTATGTAGAGGAGAGGAGTATGACAGTGGGCACTATTGTAGAGGAGAGGGGTATGACAGTGGGCACTATGTAGAGTGTGGGGGAGTATGACAGTGGGCACTATGTAGAGGAGTGGGGGGGGGGGGGTATGACAGTGGGCACTATGTAGAGGAGGAGGGAGTATATATGACAGTGGGCACTATGTTAGAGGAGTGGGGGGGGGGGGTATGACAGTGGGCACTATGTAGAGGAGTGGGGGGGGGGTATGACAGTGGGCACTATGTAGATCAGATGTGTCTGCAGCCACTCCCAGTCACATGACAGAAGTCCACGCCCACAATTGGTGACACGAGAGACATTTTATTAGACGAGTACCTCAGATTCCACATCACCTTTCATAGATAGAATTTTTTCTCTGTAAAATGTTTGATGGTTGAAGTTCCGCACTGCGCAGAGCGGGGGGGGAGAGGGGCGGGGGCGGGTGTACAGATGGAGAGGAACCTGTGTCCCCCGAGAGCCCCAGCTGCTCTAAGAGGCGCTGACCAGCACAAGCGCCCGCAGAACACCGGGACCCTGAAAATTCTTCGGCATTACCAGTGCCGATCCGAATGATAAGAGGCTGCTGAAAGGACAACAAATACGGAGGAAAAGCGACTGAAAGACCACGGGAGGGCATGAACAAAGAGATGAGCAATAACATAAGGCGGGGGGAGGGGGGCTCCTGGGGGGGGGGGGGGGGGGGGGGGGCTCCTGGGGGGGGGGGTAAAATAAACTCGGCATTAGTGGGAGGATTTGCTGGAGGTGGCAGGTAACCTAAAACATAAAAGAATTGAGCAGGCCTTTCACAGTTTCCTCTATGTCATCAATGCGACTCGGAGACGAAGGTAACATTGTATGCAGAGACGACGTGGCGGGGTTCAGGAATTGTCAGACGGGAACGTGTTCCTCGAAGCCTTCGCTCTCCCGCACCAGAGCGCGCTCCAGGATCACCCGCCCCTCTTTGTCGGTAGCGCTGGCTGTCCTCTGTGGCGAATTCGTAGATCCAGCCCAGTTTGCTGTTGCAGTTTTTGCAGCTGACGTCTCGTACCATGTGACGGCCCGTGAGCATGACCCGGTCCTGGACTTCACTGTACTGCAAGTTCACCACCTGAGGGGGGCGCGGAAGGAGAGCACGACTTTACTGGGAGTCACCAGGGGGAGGCGGAGTCATGGAATGTACGGGGCAATATGTCACCAGGGGGAGGCGGAGTCATGGAATGTGCAGGCAATAGGTCACCAGGGGGAGGCGGGAGTCATGGAATGTACAGGCAATAGGTCACCAGGGGGAGGCGGGAGTCATGGAATGTACAGGCAATAGGTCACCAGGGGGAGCGGGCGCGGGCGGAGTCATGGAATGTACGGGGCAATATGTCACCAGGGGGAGGCAGAGAAGTCATGGAATGTACAGGCAATATGTCACCAGGGGGGAGGCGGAGTCATGGAATGTACAGGCAATAGGTCACCAGGGGGGGGAGGCGGAGTCATGGAATGTACAGGCAATATGTCACCAGGGGGAGGCGGAGAGTCATGGAATGTACGGGGCAATATGTCACCAGGGGGAGGCAGAGAGTCATGGAATGTACAGGCAATATGTCACCAGGGGGAGGCGGAGTCATGGAATGTACAGGGCAATAGGTCACCAGGGGGAGGCGAAGATGGAGTCATGGAATGTACAGGCAATAGGTCACCAGGGGGAGGCAGAGTCATGGAATGTGCGGGCAATATGTCACCAGGGGGAGGAGGCGGGAGTCATGGAATGTGCGGGCAATAGGTCAACCAGGGGGAGGCGGAGTCATGGAATTGTACAGGCAATATGTCACCAGGGGGAGGCGGGAGTCATGGAATGTACGGGGGCACTATAGGTCACCCGGAGTCATGGAATGTACGAGGCATATGTCATATGGAGAGGGAGTCATGGAATGTGCGGGGCAATAGGTCACCAGGGGTGAGGCGGTTGGAGAGTCATGGAATGTACAGGCAATTATGTCACCAGGGGGAGGCGGCGGAGTCATGGAATGTACGGGGCACTATGTCACCCGGAGAGGCGGTCATGGCAGTCATGGAAATGTGCGGGGAGTCATAGGTCACCAGGGGGGAGTCACCGGAGAGGGGAGTCATGGAATGTACAGGCAATATGTCACCAGGGGGAGGCGGGAGTCATGGAATGTACAGGCAATAAATGTCACCAGGGCGGAGGGCGGAGTCATGGAATGTACGGGGCAATATGTCACCAGGGGGAGCAGACAGAGTCATGGAATGTACGGGGCAATATGTCACCAGGGGGAGGCGGAGTCATGGAATGTACAGGCAATAGGTCACCAGGGGGAGGCGGGGGATGTCATGGAATGTACAGGCAATAGGTCACCAGGGGGGGGCAGAGTCATGGAATGTGCGGGCAATTATAGTCACCAAGGGGGAGGCGGAAGTCATGGAATGTGCGGGCAATAGGTCACCAGGGGGAGGCGGGAGACTGTCATGGAATGTACAGGCAATATGGTCACCTCAGGGGGAGGCGGAGTCATGGAATGTACGGGGCACTATGTCACCCGGAGAGGGGAGGCCGGAGTCATGGAATGTCACAGGTGCGGGGCAAATAGAATGTCACAAGGGGGAGGCGGAGTCATGGAATTGTACGGGGCAATATGTCACCAGGGGAGGGCAGGGGAGTCATGGAATGTACGGGGGGCACTATGTCACCTGGAGAGGCGGGAGTACACATGGAATGTACGGCGGGCACTCCTAGGTCCAGTGGAGAGGCGGAGAGTCATGGATATGTACGGGGCAATATGTCACCAGGGAGAGGCGGATGGAGTCATGGAATGTACGGGCACTATGTCACCCGGAAGAGGCGGAGTCATGGAAATGTGCGGGGCATTAGGTCAACCTGGAGAGGCGGAGTAGTCATGGAATGTACGGGGCAATAGGTCACCTGGAGAGGCGGTGTCATGGGCATGGAACGGGGGCAATAGTTCACAGGGGAGGCAGAGAGTCATGGAATGTACGGGGGCACTATGGTTCACCTGGAGAGGCGGGAGTCCATGGAATGTACGGGGCAATAGCGTACCCGGAGAGGCGGGAGGAATCATCGGGACAATAGGTACACGGAGAGGTCACCGGAGGATTCAATGGACTTGTACAGGGGCAATAGGTCACCAGGCGGGAGGCGGAGTCATGGAATGTACGGGCAACTAAGGTCACCGGTGGAGGCGGAGTCATGGAAACTTGTAACGGGGCAATATGTCACCATGGAGAGCGTGGAGTCATGGAATGTTCGGGGAATGTCACTGGAGAGGCGGATAAGTCATGGAATGTACGGGGCATAGGTCACCTGGAGAGGTGGAGTCATGGAATGTACGGGGCAATAGGTCAACTGGAGAGGCGGAGTCATGGGATGTTCATGGTCAAATGTACGGAGTCATGGCAATGTACGGAGGCACCTATGTCACCTGGAGAGGCGGAGTCATGGAATGTAGGGGGGCAATAGGTCATGGAGAGGCGGTAGTCATGGAATGTACGGAGGCACTATGTCACCTGGAGAGGCGGAGTCATGGAATGTACGGGGCAATAAGGTCAACCTGGCAGAGGCGTGAGTAAGGTCATGGAATGTACGGGGCAATTATGTCACCTGGATGAGGGGGGAATGTTCAGTAGAAATGTACCTGGAGAATAATTGATATGTCATGGAATGTAGGGGCACTATGTATCTGGAGAGGTGGTCGTCATGGCATGTACGGGGCAATAGGTCACCTGGGAAGAGGCGGAGTCATGGAATGTACGGGGCTAATAAGGTCACCTGGAGAGGTGGGCGGAGTCATGGAATGTACGGGGCTAAAATAGGTCACCTGGAGAGCGGGGATTTTCATGGAAATTGTTTTTTGGCAATAGGGGCACCGAGTCGGGAAGGAGTATGGAATGTACAGGGCGGCTATGTCACCTGGTGAGGCGGGAGTAGTCATTGAATGTACGGGCAATATGTCACCTGGTCGAGGCCGGCGGGAGTCCTGGAATGTACGGGCAATATGGTCACCTGGAGAGGCGGGGGTAGTCATGGAATGTCGGGCAATAGGTCACCTAGGCCGATGGACAGAGGCAATTGAAGTCACCTGGAGCCGGGTGCCTGTCATGGAATAGTACGGGCAGTAGGTTCACCTGGACGAGGCGGAGTCATGGAATGTACGGGGGCAAATAGGTACTTGGAGAGGCGGAGACATGGAATGTATCTTCTGGACTGTCATGGTATGTATGGGGGGTGGCCCAGGTCACTCTGGAGAGGGCTATGACAGTCATGGAATGTACGGGGGCAATAGGTCACCTGGAGGGGCGGAGCTTTCATGGAATTATACTTTTATACGGGGGCGGGATTAGAGGTCAACTGGAGAGGTCCACCTTTTTGGAGCTCCGTGTAGCTGGAAGGGGTTCCGGTTCCAGTATCATTTAGGAAAATATAAAAGATCAAGCACAAAAGGTTTGTATCTGCCGACTTCAGGTATCCAGCCACAACCTGTCCGGGGAAAAGGATAGTGGACTCACCGACTGGCTGCATTTCACCGGCTGTCTTCTCTCCCTGGTGTCGGCTCTGTTGGGCCCGATGGGGACAGCTTGCGGCTTCCCATTCTGTGCCTTTGTGAATGGCTCCGACGTAGACTTCTGGGTCCTGTTCATGAGTCCCACTATGGGCGGGGGGGGGGCGGGGCTGCCACTACATTTGAATAGCCTATGTTGTGGCGGGTACCTGATCACATATTCGGGTACCATCCTCACAATGGTGCCAATCCTTAACGGGGAGTGGCGGACCAAGGGACTTCAGCACAAAGACTTCCCCTTTTGGGTGGAGTCCGCGTTCTGTGGATGGAATTTGTACCGGTCTTTTAATCAGGGACTCAGAATCCATACAAAGGTCTACTAACTAGGATCAGGTTCCACAATTTGAGGTCTGGGAAAGGTTAGTGGACCCGGCTCACCATCACAACCAGGAGCTTGTTGGACAGTATTCCAAAGGTCATGGACTTCTGTACAGGAGAGCGCCCCACTTTGTGAGCTCCACTCTTCAAGACTTCCCACAAATTTTGGTCTGTATCCATTTACTGAGGGTCAGGTACTGGATGGTATGGAGGAGGAAGCTGGCATCAGCATCACAACGGTGGGACAGTCAGGTGGGAGGACGGGGCTCTGTACAGGGACACTGGAGCATCTTCACCCCAAACTGGTCATCCATGTCCTATGGAGCTGGCTTTGTACACGGGGGACAGTCATGGGGGGGGACAGAAAAGGGTCTTCACCAAACTGGTAATCCATGTCTTTTATGGAGCTGGCTTGGGTACACAGGGGGACAGTCATGGGGGGACAGAAAAGGGTCTTCACCAAACTGGTCATCCATGTCCTATGGAGCTGGCTATGTGTTGTACACAGGGGGACAGTCATGGGGGAACAGAAATAGGGTCTTCACCAAACTGGTCATCCATGTCTTTATGGCGTGGCTTTGTACTCGGGGGGCAGTCATGGGGGAACAGAAAAGGGTCTTCACCAAACTGCTACCACAAGGAAGAAGAGGAAAGAGCACAACTGTCTTCCAATGTCTTTGTATGATGGAGGATCATCACTGGGACCCGTTCACTGGGGACACCTGAAACTCAAAGACATTGGAGACACGTTGTGGTGGGAGATTTCCCTTCTTCACCTCCCGTACCGGTAAAAATAGTAATCCTCTGGGGTGGGGGGGGGGGGGTTAAGGTTTTTGTTAAACGTGGAATTAGTCCCATTATTTATGAAGGAGGAGCCGGGGTTGGCCCATAGGTCGGGGATCTGAGGACTGCACTTAGTCCCGCCCTCATGTGACCCGGATTCAGCCACCAATGGGTTTAAAGCGCACTGTCAGCTGATGTTGCAGAGCCAGACCACTCCCACAATAAAGGATTCTTCTGGCCAATGAAATGACAGATAAACTTACCCGGCCACACCCCACATGGCTGCAGTGTCCAACGCTGTTCTCTGCCTACATGCGGTTGGCTGGAGGAACAATCACATGACTCGGACTCCTCCCCTATTGCTGGAGATAATGGGCCATGCATGGGGACCCCCCCCCCCCCCCCCCCCCCAACCCCCCCTCCCAAATGCCCACCATTACCTGCACTCCCCTGCTCCTTCATGGTCAAAGCTGGGACCTGGCTGGGGGAGGGGTGACGTTACACTCCCAGTCATGTGACCATTCTCAGGCCAATGACCAATGTTCCTCCACACCCAGGAGAGAAGCGAGGACCCGGGAGGAGTATAGAACTTGGACTGGATGAGGTGACGGGGCCTCCCTCTGAAGTCACAGTATAATGGGCCCATATAATACCTCCCCTTGTTAGGAATCTCTCTTCTGAGATGCAGTGACATCATCGCCGGGTCTGCCTGCTGGTCTTTGCTTCAAGTTTGGTGAGAGGAGGGGAGGAGGGGGACTCCTGTAACCATCCCAGCACCCTGCCTCCTACTTATAAGAACGTTCAATGAAAGAACGCATCCTCAGCATCCCTTTAGACGTGCATACTCCTCCGTCCTGGCCAATGGGTTCTGCAGACGTTAGCTGTGCACTCTGATTGGTTGCTTAAAGCAGAACTACACTGCATGTGAGCCCCACACACCAACAGTGCCACTTCATTTCTAATATTCAACGCAAACTCCCCCATCCATCCACTCATCCATCATCCATGTCTCCATCCATCCACTCATCCATCCATCCACTCATCCATCCATGTCTCCATCCATCCATCCATCATCCATCCATCCATCCATCCATGTCTCCATCCATCCATCCATCCATGTCTCCATCCATCCATCCATGTCTCCATCCATCCATCCACTCATCCATCCATTCATTGTCTCCATCCATCCATCCACTCATCCATCCATGTCTCCATCCATCCACTCATCCATCCATCCATCCATGTCCATCCATCCATCCATCCATCTCATCCATCCATGTCTCTATCCATCCATCCATGTCTCTATCCATCCATCCAAGTCTCTATCCATCCATCCAGTCTCTATCCATCCATGTCCCCATCTCATCCATCCATCCATCTCCCCATCCATCCATTCATCCATGTCTCCATCCATGTCTCTATCCATCCATCCAAGTCTCTATCCATCCATCCATCTCCCCATCCATCCATGTCTCTGTCCATCCATCCATCCATGTCCCCATCCCTCCATCCATGTCCCCATCATCCATCCATGTCCCCATCCATCCGTGTGTCCTCCATCCATCCATCCCATCCATCCGTGTCCCATCCATCCGTGTCTCCATCCATCCGTGTCTCCCCATCCATCCATCCATGTCTCCATCCATCCATGTCTCCATCCATGTCCCCATCCCTCCATCCATTCATCATCCATCTCCCCATCCATGTCTCTATCCATCCATCCATGTCCCCATCCCTCCATGTCCCCATCCATCCATGTCTCCATCCATCCATGTCTCCATCCATCCATGTCTCCCATCCATGTCCCCATCCCATCCATCCATTCATCCATCCGTCTCCCCATCCCTCCATCCATGTCTCTATCCATCCATCCGTGTCCCCATCTCCATCCGTGTCCCCATCCATCCGTGTCTCCATCCATCCGTGTCTCCATCCATCCGTGTCTCCATCCATCCGTGTCTCCATCCATCCGTGTCTCCATCCATCCGTGTCATCCTCCATCCATCCATGTCTCCATCCATCCATGTCCCCATCCCTCTCATCCATCCATCTCCCCATCCCTCCATCCATGTCTCTATCCATCCATCCATGTCCCCATCCCTCCATCCATGTCCCCATCCCTCCATCCATGTCCCCATCCCTCCATCCATGTCCCCTCCCTCCATCCATGTCCCCATCCCTCCATCCATGTCTCCATCCCTCCATCCATGTCTCCATCCCTCCATGATCTCCATCCCTCCATCAACCCCCTCCATCCATCATCCATCCATGTCTATTGCATGCAGCAGGAGGACTGAAAATGAGTCAACGTTGATTGACAGCAAAGTTCCCCTTTCAGCATGCACTTCTAAAGGGATGCTGGGGATGTGTTCTTTCATATAATGCAAAGGAAGAGTTGTGGGGGCGGGCAATGACAGGATGGATCAGGAGAGGGGGAATGATGATGACGGACGCAGTCATGAGGGTCATCTGTGCAGGAGAGGAGGGTGCAAAGCTGAATTCTGTGAGATTCACGCCACACCCACTCCTGATGCCGCCATCATGTGACCAATCAGATCACTAAATGACAGGGCATGATGTCATAAGGGGCGGAGACACCGAACAGAAGAGCCCATGATGTAAAGGTAAGTGGGGGTGTGACTGTTCCATAGTACTCAGGGGACGTCCCTGTGACAACGAAGTGTTTCCTGATCACATGACCCCTCCCCCGACTGACCTTATTGAAGAGGAAGGCCCGGCCGGTGGCCCCGGTGAAGCGGGTGGAGATGAGCTCGGAGCGGTTGGTCAGGATGGTGTCACAGTTGGCGCAGGAGAAGAGGCGGGTCCCTCCGATGTGATCCAGGAAGATCCTCCCCATCGTCGTCTCGTAGAGGAAAGATCCGCAGGAAGGAGATCTGCAGAGGCGGGACAGAGATCAGAGGCGGGCCATCCCACCGAGGGAGGGGCGGTCCAGGCCACACCCAAACTTCACCCCCATCGCCCCTCCCCCACCATTATATCTTCTTATACTTTCATCACTTCCTGTCATCTCATCACATGGAAATGTTCTGTGGGGGCGGGGAGAGGTCAGTTCCTATAGATGCGGCCACACCCCCAGAACCACACCTCTCAGTCCCCTTGGTGGTCAGTCTATACTCAGTGACCGGTCCCCTTGGCGGTCAGTCTATACTCTATACTCAGTGACCGGTCCCCTTGGTGGTCAGTCTATACTCAGTGACCGGTCCCCTTGGTGGTCAGTCTATACTCAGTGACCGGTCCCCTTGGCGGTCAGTCTATACTCAGTGACCGGTCCCCTTGGTGGTCAGTCTATACTCAGTGACAGGACGGTCCCCTTGGTGGTCAGTCTATACTCAGTGACAGGACCGGTCCCCTTGGTGGTCAGTCTATACTCAGTGACCGGTCCTCTTGGTGGTCAGTCTATACTCAGTGACAGGACCGGTCCTCTTGGTGGTCAGTCTATACTCAGTGACAGGTCCTCTTGGTGTAGGGGTGTGTCTGGAGTTCTGACCAATCACAGCACAGGATCATTATGTTTCTCAGGAAGGAATTTGGATTTTGTTTCTCTGAAGTTCCTGGAATTCCTCTCCTGTATACGGGACATGCCCCTCCCCCACACAGACACCAGCCTGCCATGTGACCTCACCTGTCAGCCAATCAGATGTGTGGATGGGAAGAAAGGAAGCTCCTCCCCCCTGCAGGTGACACGCTGAGAAAACAACAAACAGCCGTCCTGTGTGCTCAGCAGGTTGGAAGCTGCATCACCCCCTCCCCCCCCCACCTGAGACCCCCCCCCCCCCACCTGAGAGAGATGCCCCCCCCCCCCCCACCTGAGAGAGAAGCACCCCCCCACCTGAGAGAGAAGCTCCCCCCCACCTGAGAGAGAGAAGCTCCCCCCCCACCTGAGAGAGAAGCTCCCCCCCCACCTGAGAGAGAAGCTCCCCCCCACCTGAGAGAGAAGCCCCCCCCCCCACCTGAGAGAGAAGCCCCCCCCCCCCCACCTGAGAGAGAAGCCCCCCCCACCTGAGAGAGAAGCTCCCCCCACCTGAGAAGCCCCCCCCCACCTGAGAGAGAAGCCCCCCCACCTGAGAGAGAGAACCCCCCGCCCACCTGAGAGAGAAGCTCCCCCCCACCTGAGAGAGAACCCCCCCCCACCTGAGAGAGAAGCCCCCCCCACCTGAGAGAGAAGCCCCCCACCTGAGAGAGAACCCCCCCCACCTGAGAGAGAAGCCCCCCCCACCTGAGAGAGAAGCCCCCCCCACCTGAGAGAGAAGCCCCCCCCACCTGAGACCCCCCCCCCCACCTGAGAGAGAAGCCCCCCCCCACCTGAGAGAGAAGCCCCCCCCCACCTGAGAGAGAAGCTCCCCCCCCCCACCTGAGACCCCCCCCCCACCTGAGAGAGAAGCCCCCCCCACCTGAGAGAGAAGCTCCCCCCCACCTGAGAGAGAAGCCCCCCCCCCACCTGAGAGAGAAGCTCCCCCCCATGTATACAGCGGGGGAGGGGCGTACTGTGGGGGTACACGGCGGGGGAAGGGCCTATTGTGGGGGTACATGGCGGGGGAGGGGCCTATTGTGGGGGTACACGGCGGGGGAGGGGTGTATACGGTGGGGGAGGGTGTACACGGCGGGAGAGGGGTGTATTGTGGGGGTACACAGCGGGGGAGGGGTGTATTGTGAGGGGTACACGGCGGGGGAGGGGTGTATTGTGGGGGTACACGGCGGGGGAGGGGTGTATTGTGGGGGTACACGGCGGGGGAGGGGTGTATTGTGGGGGTACACAGCGGGGGAGGGGTATAGTATGGGGGTACACAGCGGGGGAGGGGTATAGTATGGGGGTACACAGCGGGGGAGGGGTATAGTATGGGGGTACACAGCGGGGGAGGGGTATAGTATGGGGGTACACAGCGGGGGAGGGGTGTATTGTGGGGGTACACAGCGGGGGAGGGGTATAGTATGGGGGTACACAGCGGGGGAGAGGGTGTATTGTGGGGGTACACGGCAGGGGAAGGGCCTATTGTGGGGGTACATGGCGGGGGAGGGGCCTATTGTGGGGGTACACGGCGGGGGAGGGGTGTATTGTGGGGGTACACGGCGGGGGAAGGGCCTATTGTGGGGGTACACGGCGGGGGAGGGGCGTATTGTGGGGGTACACAGCGGGGGAGGGGTGTATTGTGGGGGTACACAGCGGGGGGGAGGGGTGTATTGTGGGGGTACACGGCGGGGGAGGGGTGTATTGTGGGGGTACACGGCGGGGGGGGTGTATTGTGGGGGTACACAGCAGGGGAGGGGTATAGTATGGGGGTACACAGCGGGGGAGGGGTATAGTATGGGGGTACACAGCGGGGGAGGGGTGTATTGTGGGGGTACACAGCGGGGGAGGGGTGTATTGTGGGGGTACACAGCGGGGGAGGGGTATAGTATGGGGGTACACAGCGGGGGAGGGGTGTATTGTGGGGGTACACAGCGGGGGAGGGGTATAGTATGGGGGTACACAGCGGGGGAGGGGTGTATTGTGGGGGTACACAGCGGGGGAGGGGTGTATTGTGGGGGTACACAGCGGGGGAGGGGTGTATTGTGGGGGTACACGGCGGGGGAGGGGTGTATTGTGGGGGTACACGCGGGGGGAAGGGCCTATTGTGGGGGTACATGGCGGGGGAGGGGCCTATTGTGGGGGTACACGGCGGGAGAGGGGCGTATTGTGGGGGTACACGGCGGGGGAGGGGTGTATTGTGGGGGTACACGGCGGCAGAGGGGCGTATTGTGGGGGTACACAGCGGGGGAGGGGTGTATTGTGGGGGTACACAGCGGGGGAGGGGTGTATTGTGGGGGTACACAGCGGGGGAGGGGTGTATTGTGGGGGTACACAGCGGGGGGAGGGGTATAGTATGGGGGTACACAGCGGGGGAGGGGTGTATTGTGGGGGTACACAGCGGGGAGGGGTGTATTGTGGGGGTACACGGCGGGGGAGGGGTGTATTGTGGGGGTACACGATGGGGGAGGGGTGTATTGTGGGGGTACACGGCGGGGGAGGGGTGTACACGGCGGGGGAGGGATATAGTATGGGGTACACGGCGGGGGAGGGGTATAGTATGGGGGTACACGGCGGGGGAGGGGTGTATTGTGGGGGTACACAGCGGGGGAGGGGTGTATTGTGGGGGTACACGGCGGGGGAGGGGTGTATTGTGGGGGTACACGATGGGGGAGGGGTGTATTGTGGGGGTACACGGCGGGGGAGGGGTGTACACAGCAGGGGAGGGGTATAGTATGGGGGTACACGGCGGGGGAGGGGTATAGTATGGGGGTACACGGCGGGGGGAGGGGTATAGTGTGGGGGTACACGGCGGGGGAGGGGTGTATATGGTAGGGGAGGCCTGTACCGGAATTCGCGGTCACCGGACAGACATGACGTCACACGATCCGGGCACTCGGTGAGACTCTCCCTCTCCCTCCCGGTGATTCCTCGGTAGGCCCGGATCCCTCCCCCTCTCACCGATCACAGACTCGGATCCCGGACTCGGTGTCGGTCGGTTGCTCTCCCGGTTCCTCTGACTGGGCGCTCTAAGCTCCGCCCACTTCCCTACTCCTCCTGTCCATCAGCATGGCTCCGCCCCCATTCCGGGCGCAGTACAAACAGCCAGGCGTGACGTAACGGCCCCGCCCCACCCCGCTGACTGGAGGAATCAATAGTCCCGCCCACCGCAGTCATTTCCCGGTTCCGCCTATCTTTGCTGAGACACAAACAACAAGGCGTGGCGCCCGTCTCCGCCCACCGCCGTCTAGAGTGTTTTGTGGGGCCTGTCCATGGCGGCCCCCGGGGGCCGATCCCTCCCCCATACTGTTCTGGTTGTCTATAGCAACTAATATTTTTTAGGCCAATGATTTCTGGAATCGAGTTGGTTGCTATGGGCAGCAAAAAATTGCTCCTCCCCCAGACATTGTGAGGGGATGGACCCCACTGAACAGATCCTCCCTCACTTCCGGTCCCGGTGACCCCATGTGTGACAAGTTGCTGCCACTGAGGGGGGAAATCTGAAAATGCAAAAAAAAAAAAAACCGCCTGACAGAGACCCTGAAACCAAGACCACCAGTACCGAGCCAATGGAGGCCATGAGATAGCGCCCTGTCATTGGTGTCAGCAGGGGAGGAATAGTGTCCCATCATTGGTGTCAGCGGGAGGAATAGTGTCCCATCATTGGTGTCAGCGGGAGGAATAGTGTCCCATCATTGGTGTCAGTGGGAGGAATAGTGCCCCATCGTTGGTGTCAGTGGGAGGAATAGTGCCCCATCATTGGTGTCAGTGGGAGGAATAGTGTCCCATCATTGGTATCAGTGGGAGGAATAGTGCTCCATCGTTGGTGTCAGTGGGAGGAATAGTGCCCCATCATTGGTGTCAGGGGGGAATAGCGCCCCATCATTGGTGTCAGTGGGAGGAATAGTGCCCCATCATTGGTGTCAGTGGGAGGAATAGTGCCCCATCATTGGTGTCAGTGGGAGGAATAGTGCCCCATCATTGGTATCAGTGGGAGGAATAGTGCCCCATCGTTTGGTGTCAGTGGGAGGAATAGTGCCCCATCATTGGTGTCAGTGGGGGAGGAGTAGTGCCCCATCATTGGTGTCAGTGGGAGGAATAGTGCCCCATCATTGGTGTCAGTGGGGGGAATAGTGCCCCATCATTGGTGTCAGTGGGGGGAATAGTGCCCCATCATTGGTGTCAGTGGTGTCAGTGGGAGGAATAGTGCCCCACCATTGGTGTCAGTGGGAGGAATAGTGCCCCATCATTGGTATCAGTGGGAGGAATAGTGCCCCACCATTGCTCCAAGGGCCAGATAAAAGCAAGCAAAGGGCCACATCCGGCCCCGG